TATGTATGTATGTATGTATGTATGTATGTATGTATGTATGTATGTATGTATGTATGTATGTATGTATGTATGTATGTATGTATGTATGTATGTATGTATGTATGTATGTATGTATGTATGTATGTATGTATCTAAAATATTTAGAACATTTGCTTTTTCAGCAGTCGAGAGAACTTTTATTTATTTCTACGTTTTCATTTGTTATTTGATAAAATAAAATATTCTTGACACCTCATATTTTGAAAAATTTTTCATGTAGTTTTTTTATGTGTAAATTTTATTTTTTATTTCTATACCAATATGTAAATAAAAGAAGATGAAGAAGAAAAGGATGAAGAAATGCAGATCTAGACTCACATCACCACCGCCGTCACCGCCCCAATTGCCGCCGCTATGCTCAGATCTAGAAGATGGAAGAGATATAAGAAGGGGCAGAAAAAGAAGAAGAAAAACAGAGGAGGGAAGAGAAGAGAAGAGGAGATGGACGGGGGAAGAGGAAGAGAGAAAGAGAAAGAGAAAAAAAAGAAGAAAAACAGATGGGGGAAAAGAAGAGAAGAGGAAATGTACCGAGGAAGAGAGAAAGAGAAAGAGAAAGAAGAAGAAGAAGAAAGAAAGAAAGAAAGAAAGAAAGAAAGAAAGAAAGAAAGAAAGAAAGAAATTGACAACAACAACAACAACCCAGTTGAATCCCACTACAGTAGGGTCTGGGGAGGGTGTGTGCACGCAGACCTTGCCCCTACTCAGAAGTAGAGAGGCTGTTTCCAAGAGACCCCCGGCTCAACCTGCACAAAAATATGGAAGGGAACACAGTATAACACGGGTAAAGAGCTAAGTACAAGCAACAAGTACAAGGAATAGCAAAAGATTCCAAACAAACACAACATACAACAAACAACCTCTACAGGACCGAGCTCCTATCCAGCTACTCTAATCCTAGTTCTCTAAAGGTTCTCATCTAATGTCATATCCTCAGTCAGGGTGAGGATTCCTAAATCCTGCCTAATCACATCCCTCCAATTCTTCTTAGGTCTACCCCGTCTCCTACTTTCCTCGATAACCGTAATCCTCTCGCATCTCTGTACAGGGGCGTCAGCATCATATCCCGCCGTCTCACATGACCAAACCATCTCAACCTCGCTTCCCGCAACTTATCTTCCACTGGCGCCATGCCCATCTGACGTCGGACAACTTCGTTCGAAATCCTATCCAACCTTGTCTTCCCACACATCCATCGTAACATCCGCATCTCCGTCGCATGCAGACGACGCACATGAGTATTCTTAACCGCCCAACACTCTGCCCCATATAACATAGCAGGTGTGACTACGGATCGGTATAACTTACCTTTCATCTTGGGCGAAATCTTCGGATCACACAACACTCCTGAAGCTAACCGCCATTTGGCCCAAGCCACTCCAACATGATGTCCAACATCCCCATCTAACTCCCCATCAGCCTGGATTACCGGGCCAAGATATCAGAATCTGTCTACCTTAGGTACTAGGTGAGAGAAAGAAAGAAATTGAGAAGAGAGAAAAGGGTGGGGGACGGGGAGGGTATATCTAGGGAGAGTTTGAGAGAGAGAATAAAATTGAATGATAAGGGTATTTTTGGAAGAATTGTGGTTAAAATTAGAAATGGGGAGATTATTTCCGGACGGGAGAAAAAAAGAAATGGGAAGATTATTTTCGGACGGAGGGAGTAATTGCTTGGCTTGTAGGATAGAAATGAGGGAGAAAGACTCAAATAGGACTAAAAGTTTGAAAATATACCAAAATAGGACTTCCATGTTTTAATTCTCCAAATAGGACTTACATTACGAACCATTGTCATATACATTACCAAAAAAGCATAGTAATTTGCACATGTACACTGCCACATTACCACAATGCAAGGTCACATTATCACGATGCAAAGTCCTATTCCGGGAAAAAAACATGAAAGTCTTATTTTGGTACTTTTATCTATGTTTTAGTTCTATTTAGGATGATTTCTATTGAAATGATGCATGGAAGCAATGTTAAAGCTATAAAAGTTGTATTTTTCATATTTTAAAAAAAGTTGTTTTGAAATACTTGTTTATAAAATGATTATACAAAAACTTAGTTTTCAAAACCATAAATATTTTATACTTAAAAGTCTTTTTTTTAAACTTCAAGATGGTATAATATACACAAGGGTGAGTTTATGACAAAATTGATAGAGGTGAAAGGGATATTAGTGTTTAAAATTTTATATGATCTTTAATTTGTAACGTGAAATATATTATTATGTAATATGCATATAGAATTTGATATTTTTTTTTGTAGAATAGCATCAATATTTTCTAATATTTGGTTATTTTAATAGCGATTATTTAGTTTTCACAAAAATTTAAAAAGTTGTGATATTGAAATAATGTTTAATATTTTTTAAAACAAGTTTAAACATATCAATGTTTAGTTGATTTTCATATTTTACTTTTTTTATGTGTATATGAGTTGTAATACTTTAAAACTATTAAGTTTTTTAATAATTTTAAGTTTAATTTAAATCAAATTTAAATTCATTTACACCAGATCTAATTAGATAAAATCAGATCCAATTAGATCAGATCCAATCAGATCAGATTAGATTCAATCAGGTCAGATCAGATCCAATCAAATCAGATCAGACCCAATGAGATCAGATCGGACTCAATCAGATCAGATCATATCTAATTAGATCAGATCAGACCCAATCAGATCAGATCAAAATTTCAAAAATTCAGATCAGATTCAATTAGATCAGGCGTACGGAAGCCTAAGTCAAGACTTAGGAAAATTTTGGCAAGATGACATCATTAGTGATGGTAGCATATCATGACATCATTTGTGATGTCACTAATGACATGATTGGTAATACGGAGTAAGCGAGTATTCACTCCGTCCCGAAGTATTCGTCCAGTTTTGACTTTTGGAATTGTTCATCTAAACAATTTGACTCATCAAATTCTCTTAATGTGTAAGCCTAAATATAGTCATGTGTGATTTTGTTTGATTTGTCTTAACATATAGATTATTAATATATAATTTCTATAATTTTTTAATATACAAATTACAAGATAAAATGGATTAAAGAAGTGTGTTGGATGATATGTAAAAATGAAAGTGGATAAATACTCTGGGACGGAGGTAGTATATGCTAGCATGACATTAGAGGTTGAAGTACCTTTTTGGGTTCTAGGCTCTCTTGCTACTGACTCATTTTGGTGATCTGAAAAACTTTTCCGTTTGCAGCAAAATCAAATTTCAAGCCGATCCATGTCCCATGAGTTATGTGAAAATAAAATGTTTTCTAGCATTATCTTGATTCTTTCCTAAGTACAGCTTCACATTTATTTTTTCTAATTTCAGTGGAAAGTGATGGCTCGATAATATTTGTTTTTTTTTTATTTAGAACAATTTTTCTTTTGTAACCGTCCAAAATCTCATAATCGGTCATGTTGGTCAAAGCTCAATAGACTTTATATTTACCAGTTAGGCATTCGGCTATAAAGGTTTTACAATATTAATTTTGTTATTCTTTTAGTCAAAGTACCTATCAGTTATTCTTTAGAATGCTGATTTAAGTTAGTTAAAACTCATTTAAAACTTCTAAGGTTGGTTTATAGGCGTTACAAATAATATAAGTTTTTATTTCTAAGCTAGTTTTGGAAGGAACGAGTATTTTTTTTAATTTTTTTTATATTTTTTAGTTTTGATTAGTTTTCAGTCTCTTTTGGAATGAACATATTTAAGAATGAACACTACGTTGTTTTAGAATGAATACTACTCCGTACGTTGTTTCAGAATCAAAACTACGATTTAAAATTAATATTTTTGTTGATTCAAAATGAATTTATGCTAGGTAAACCCAACTCTACGTACAACCGGATGTACGATATACATTTTTCCCTACACCCATTTGATAAATCTTCTTCCGTTGTCCATTCTTTTTTGGCATTTTGCTTCATAGTTAAACAACAAAATGGTCAAATGGAAAGTGACTTGTGCAATTCAAATAAGATTAAAATCACATGCGGAGTATATTAATTTATCTAGATATGGCGATACACTTTCTAAGAGACAAAGATGAACAATATTACTCCGTATAATACTACTTCTACTTGTCTTGTTTGATTTTTTTAGTTAAACTCGTCGAATTTTAGACCTCAATTAAAATAAAAATTGTAATTTGTATTAGGTTAATAAGGAAAAATTTCACGAAAAACACGACCTTTACTCAATTTTTTGCACAACTTTTAGTTTTTGTCTAACAATATATTCCGTATTTCACCTACATCAAATTAAAATCAAATTAAAATGGCTGAAAAAGGTTATTATAAGACGTTTATAACCAATGTGAGATTTTCAAATTTAAGTCACGATAACGAATCTAAAATGGAGAGCGTACCAGGGACAACAATTATGAGATTTATGTGAATTGAAAAATAAATATCCATTCTTGGAGAAAAATGGTATGAAATTAAACGACATGTCTAAAATTGGCAAAGAAACAAATGTGTGCATTTTATTGACAACAAATAAAGTTCGTGATAGAAATAGAAAAAATGAGGGAATGTCCTGCTTTTTCATGTAATTTTTTTCACATAAAAATCATTTTATTAGATTTATCTTGTTGAGAATTTTTTAATTTTTATTTCACTGTATTAATATGTAATATAAATTGGAATTAATTGATAATTTAAATTTGTTTTTTTATTATAAAAAAGTTTATTTTGTTCAACTCAAAAAAATTAAAAAGTCAAACTAGACCAATATCTTGTGGAGTATGACATTAGAAAAAATTTAAAATAAGCAATGCTAGGTTAACAAACAGAATACTCACAAATTTCACATATTTACTATCGATGGTTTAAATTTTAATTTCAAAATTATTTTAGACTACTAATTTTTTTACATTGAAGTTCATAAATAGTAAGTTTGTTAAATTTGTGACCATTATGTTTGTAAACAAGCATTTCCCAAATTTAAAAGAACCACCCCTATTATGCAAATTCTTCCATACTCCTAAGGTCTACGTTAATTTTATGAACCTTGGTATATAAATACTATGGATGAATTAGGCTTTTAAAAAAAGTAGAACTCTTTATCTAAAAGTAAAAAACTATGAAAATACCAAAATACGAGTCACATTGTAACTGTCATTGCATTGTTACACTATCACACTCACCACATTGTCACATTGTAACTGCCACACTGCCATCCGTCGTCGCTGGCCACCCGAGTACCGTCGTGGATCACTAACTGTTGACTAATCACACTTACGTATTACACTGTCATCACTTTTTTAACACTGCCAACGTGTACTCTTACACTGCACTGTGATTATACTCTTATTTTGGCCTTAAAAGACTTAGGACTTCTATTTTGATATTTTTCATACATTCTTACTTCAATCCAAGTAGATTTCTTGTTTTAAAAAATAAAAGATTTTCATGTCGGCTCATGAAAAGTGTGAGAAGATTTCTTTATATTTCACATGTGGATCTTATGATCATGGAAGCACTACCACCTTTATTGTATCCTCCTTCTATAAAAAATGTCACAATTACTATTTAAGAAAACCCCCTGAATAGGAGTAAAACATATGTCATATCTTCAAAATAGGAGCTCAAACTTAAACTCTTCTAAATATGAGTAATTAATTAATTAATAAAGAAAACTCCATAAATATTATTAAATCTCAAATTAATCTCATCTCTGTGCTCCATCTCCTCACGGTCACCTAGACCTGATCAAAGTGCGGGCCAGGCCGGGTTTCGGGCCGGGCCGAGACACTAGTTTACGAGAATTTTCTAGGCTCGAGCCCGGCCCGGCCCGTATAACGGGCCTAACAATTGAAGCCCGAGCCCGGCCCGCATGGTTACCCGCGGGCTTCGGGCCGGCCCGGCCCAACCGACAAAAATCTTCTAAATAATTTAAAAAATAATTTTTTTTTAAAATAAATAAAGTAACAAGTTAATATATATTAGATATTTGATATAAAAACTATTATGAGTAATGAAAGAAAAATTAATACTACGGGTATATAAATATATTTTGTTTGATATTGCTACTATCTATGGAGTACAAAATATTATATATTGGAATGTCATAATCAATGTGTGATACGTTGCAAACAATACGGAGTAGTAAAGATGTATTCATTTTATTATATAAACTTATAGTTTATTTTTTCTCTCCATAGAAGTATGTATGTGTGTTTATAATAATTTGAAATAGGTTTGTTCTTTATTATTATTATTAATGTTGTTATTGTTATTTTATTATAATTATATTAATAATAAATATTTTAATTTATTCGGGCCGGGCCGGCCCGTGGGCTTGAGCATAAACCCGAGCCCGGCCCTAAAATTTTCGGGCCGCCATTTATAAGGCCCAAGCCCGGCCCGTACCCTAAAATGTCAAGCCCAAGCTCGCTATTTTGCGGGCGGGCTTTTACGGGCCCGCATTTACTCTCTCTCATTTTTGGCCACCATCCTCACCATTTTGAAGTGTTGCCTCCGTCAAATCCACTCCAAGTGCAGTACATCACCACCGCCCCCACTCTTTGCAGTGCCGCCGCACTAGCTTCCTGCTTTGCAGATCTGTCACGATGCATCCTCTGTAGATCCACCGCGGAGAACCGCCTCTATCTCCCCCCTTACAGATCTATCGCACCGCCTATATCCATCACAGCTGAGAGTTCCGCTAGCCGTGATACTATGATTTTAATTTTTAATTAGCTTCCAAATGCTATATAATTGAGTCTGCATCGTAGAGGTAAGAAATACTTCCAACTAATTGCATACATCCTTTTTTCTCCAAAAAATTGCATCTTTATCAGGCATTGATTTTGGTTTGGTTTTTTCTTTTCATTTTTGTATTTGATTGTTTTTTTTAATTTTTTGTTTGATTGTTTTTCTATTAGTTGTGTTTAAATAATTTTGCTCCCAATTTTAACAAAATTTGGTGATAGTGATAAGAAAATTGACATTGTATGTTGGCAATCTTGACATTTACTTTCTTTTTGACATTTTATATTGACACATTTGGCATTACACAATAATATGTTTGTCAGTATACATTATCATCTTTGACATTGTGACTTTAGTTGGCATTGTATTGAAAGTTTTTTTCCTTAGCAGTCACATCAGGGCACTATGGTGGCAACAATGACAGTCCTGATCCCAATGCTGACAGTAAATTGTGACATTGACACTAGCAAATGGGGGTGACAGAGCGGCATCCGCAACAAATGAGGATGCGAGTGGCAGATCCTGGTGGCGATGACTGCAATAGTGCCGACCGTGGCGGTGTTAGTTGCAACAACAATGTAGATGGTGGCCGCATTTAATAGCGATGGTTGCAGGAGATTGTGGCGATAGAGTGGCGGCGACGACAGTAGCGGTGATGGCGGCATGGGTGGCGACAGTGACATGTGCGGTAGGGGTTGTAGCTAATTTAGGATTTTTTTAAATTTATAAAATATACTCCGTATTTACTTTCATATTTGTAATATGAATATAACTTCTATTTTTTTACACAGTCAATGTTTTACTCTTATTTTACTCATTAACTCTAAGTCATTAGATTAATTAAGTTAATTACTCCTATTTACTCGTTTTTAGAAACCACATGATAAATAAACATTTCAAGTGTTGAAATAAATATTTTTAAACTTAAAAAAAATGTGAGAAGATTCATGTGGACCTTAGGCCAATCATATGTTCACTCTTATTGCATTCCCTCCATCTAAAAAAGAACATCATAATTACTATTACGTTCTTTCGATAACTTTTGTTTATTTAGTCATTTTTTGTGATAATTTGATAACATAAAATATTTTTTTACATTTTTTTTTGTAGAATTTTTGATATATTTTTGAAGGGTATAATTTATATTTTTATTTTTTTATCAATTTATAAATAAAATGATTGTAAAAGAAATAAAATTTTACATGTTAAAGTGATAAATATTTGGGGGAGAAGTGAGTATAAAGGAATAAAAACTTGCGGAGGTAATGCTTCCTTATTTAAGCGGTGATGGGTCTTTGGAACTTGTTAGGCCTTTGATACATACCTGAAATATTTTATTTTCAAGTTTATCGACATGAATCTATTTTCTTTTTCCCTGCTGCGCAGAATCTATCGGCTCTATCTGCGTCCGTAGAGCGGGCAACAATGGCCGCCTCTAATGTCACGATGAAGTGCCCGCCGGCGGCAGCCGCCATGAAGGCGACGTCGAACGGTTCGTTCCAAGGCGAGAATCCTCTAGACTCTGCACTTCCTCTCCTCATCGTACAGATATGTCTGGTCGTCGCGCTCACTCGAACCCTCGCCTACCTTCTCCGACCACTCCGCCAGCCCCGCGTCATTGCCGAGATTATTGTAAGTTGATTTCATCGATTCGTGAAATTGAGATTTTTTTTTTCCGCCACTGTTGTTGATGTTGATGAAAACCTATGTTGCATGGATTCTTCCAGTGAGCGCTGTGTTGTTTCCCGGCCTGAGCGCCGAACCCTTTTGTTAAATTTGGGAAAAGTTTGGGAGGGATTTGATAGCATAGATACAAAACAATGTATGGTGATTTGACATTTTTCGGATTAATTTGTCAGGGAGGGATTCTACTGGGTCCATCTGCTTTGGGCCGCAACAAAACGTATTTGAACGCTGTGTTCCCAGCAAAAAGCCTTACAGTTTTGGACACCCTGGCCAACCTGGGTCTCCTGTTCTTCCTTTTCCTGGTAGGCATTGAGCTTGACCCCAAATCTCTCCGTCGGACAGGACAGAAAGCACTTTCTATTGCAGTTGCTGGAATTAGTTTACCTTTTGCATTAGGGATTGGGACATCTTTTATACTTCGACAAACAATAGCCAAAGGGGTCAGTCAAGGCCCTTTTCTGGTGTTCATGGGGGTTTCCCTGTCTATTACTGCTTTCCCGGTTTTGGCCCGGATCTTGGCTGAGCTCAAGCTTTTGACAACGGATGTTGGGCAAATGGCCATGTCTGCTGCTGCAGTGAATGATGTTGCTGCTTGGATTTTGCTTGCTCTTGCTATTGCCCTGTCCGGTCCGGGTCATCATTCTCCCTTTATTTCATTATGGGTACTTCTTTGCGGATGTTGTTTCGTGATACTTTGCATACTTATTGCCCCTCCAATATTCAAACGGATGTCATCACGTTGTTCTGAGGGCGAGCCAGTGCACGAGACATATGTTTGTGCTATATTAGCAGCCGTATTGGCTGCCGGATTTGTCACTGATACTATTGGAATTCATGCACTCTTTGGTGCTTTTGTGATTGGAGTTCTTGTTCCAAAAGAGGGCCCATTGTCTGGTGCCCTAGTGGAAAAAGTTGAAGATCTGGTTTCAGGGCTATTGCTTCCATTGTATTTTGTGTCAAGTGGGTTGAAGACCAATGTAGCTACCATTCAAGGGGCTCAGTCATGGGGGCTTCTTGTTTTGGTCATTTTCACAGCATGTTTTGGAAAGATTGTTGGGACTGTTCTGGTTTCAACCTTGTGCAAGATGCCTTTCCAGGAGGCGGTTACCCTCGGTTTCTTGATGAACACCAAAGGTCTAGTTGAGCTCATCGTCCTTAACATTGGAAAAGATAGAGGGGTATGTGTTTAAACTTTAAACTACTTGTTAATCACATTAACTTGACCAAGATTTGATCAAATCATTCCTGAATCTTTTACACATTACAAATAGACCGTTTGGACAGTCAAAATTTTCATATATGACACCCTTAACGCTAAACTTTTTGGACTTGATTTGTAACTTTTACTGAATCTTATCAATTAAAATGTCGTTTTCTTTTGGGAAGAAAATATTTGTGATGATGTTTAAAGGGGATTTAGTCTGAAGACACTCAATTATTACTAATTTTATACTCCCTCCAACCCTATAAAAAGACTCTTAGTTACTATTCACCGGTCAAAGTAGTTATACTTTTTTTATTATAAATTTTCATCGATCATTTGATAAAATAAAATAATCTTGTCACCACTTGTTTTATAAAACTTTTGATGTAGAATTTTAATATAGAATTTTTATTTTTTAATTCTACACCAATTTTTAATTATATTGATTTGAAAATGACTTCAGTCAAACATCGTAAACCGAAAGAGAGCCTTATTTTGGGACGGCGGGAGTAGTATTCTTTAGTGATTTTTTTGACTTGTCAAGAGGTGTATTTGTAGATGGTGTGGGCAAAATTGGTTAGAAAGTGTCTTCCCCAAAGTGCTACTCTGCATGTATTCAAATTAGGCGTGCCGGTATATTTTAGTTTGACTTTTCTGATTATTGAATTAATGTTGTTTTCATCATTCTATTGTAGGTATTGAATGATCAAACCTTTGCTATTATGGTTTTGATGGCCTTGTTCACTACCTTCATCACAACACCTATAGTTGTATTAGTATACAGACCGGCTAAACTAGCTGTGACGAAGTACAAGCAAAGAACATTGCAAAGGAATGATCCAATCAAACAACTTCGAATCTTGACATGTTTCCATAGCCTCGGAAACATTTCTTCATTAATAAATTTAATCGAGGCTTCCCGTGGGACCGAGAAGAGTGGAGGGTTCCGTGTCTATGCAATGCACCTCATGGAGCTTTCTGAGAGGTCGTCTGCAATTCGGATGTGCCACAAGGCTAGCAAGAATGGACTTCCATTTTGGAACAAAGGGGAGTCTACGGATTCCAAAGAAGTTGTGGTTGCATTTGAGACATTTGAACATCTTAGCAAGGTTACTATACAACCATGCACGGCAATCTCTGCAATGTCTAGCATGCATGAAGATATCATTGCAGGCGCAGAGCGAAAGCGGGTTGCTATGATCATCCTCCCATTCCACAAGCACGAAGGCCATCACCCCGAAGGTAAACGCAATGAGCTCAGGCATGTGAACCGAAAGGTTCTTGAGGGGGCCCCATGTTCAGTTGGTGTCCTTGTGGACAAGGGCACTCTTGGTGGAACATCTCATGTATCCGCTAGCAATGTTGATTACACAATTACTGCATTGTACTTTGGGGGCCACGATGACCGCGAGGCTCTGGCTTATGGGGCCCGCATGGCCGAGCACCCTGGGATTTGTTTACTCGTGGTTCGTTTCATACTGAACCCTGAGGCCAATGGGGCTAGTGTCAGAATAGATGTATCTCCTCCTGAAACAGTCAAGTCCAATGATGATGACGAAAAGTTCCTAGCTAATTTCAACCAGAGAAACACAGGGAACAGGTCGGTGAAATACGAGGAGAAGATGGTGAATAATGGCGCAGAAGCGATTGAAGTGATTCGGGGATACAACCATTGCAATTTGTTTTTAGTGGGACGAATGCCTGAGGGACCGTTAGTCGCGTCCATGATAAAAAAGAGGGAATGCCCAGAAATGGGACCCTTGGGAAACTTGTTAATTTCGAAGGAGTTTTCAACAGGAGGAGGAGGAGGGGCATCTGTTTTGGTGGTTCAGCAGTTCCGGAAAGAGCTCTCGCGAGATTCTATGAATTCTCTCAAGGAAGGTGACTCCACAGAAGGTGATTACGATTCATCCTAAAGGTGTAACAACAGCATTTCACAACTCATGTGTTTTCACTGACCATATACCGGTATACATACTCTCAAGGTTTGTCTTTCATTTCTTTCATGTGAATAATACAAACTGAATACACACTCTAAATCACCTGGAAAATCTCCGTATCATTTCTTTTTTGAGCGCTAATAACTTTATTACAAGTGTAGTATCTGTTCATATATATACTTTGATACATCGAGAGTTATTGCATTCACTCAGGGATTGAACTCGTGACCTCCCATTTGGAAGAGTCACCTTGGTCTAGCCATTAGACAACAAGGTCTTTCACAGTTTCACCTCCATATCATTTCTTACCATGTGAATTTGGCATTTTCAGCCGTGTGTTGAATGTTGATAGACTTGTTACTCCCTCGGTCCCAGAAAGATTCTCTTTGCGTGAGTTCGGAGTATAATATTTGGTTGATGATATTTTTAATTCAATTTATATAGAAATTAGTGTAAAATTTACATTAAAATTTATATTTTTCAAAGTTATATTGAAAATTTTACAAAAGCAAGAATTGACAAGATTATATTATTTTATCAAATAAGTAATGAAAATAAATAGAGAAAGTGGTTAAAGTTTAACTCCTTGAATAGTGAACAAAAACTTCTTTTTGGGAGGGGATACGAAGCAGGAGTATTATACATCCACTTGGTGTAGTCCAATGTTATGAAAACCGGACCGGCCATCGATCCATTGTAGTCTATCCATTCTTCTCTTGGAGCTCTCAAATTTGTTTTTGTATGTCCAACTTTTGACCAATTACAGAGAGAAAATACAATGAACATAACACTGTTTATACTTTATACCATAATAATGTGTTGAAAAATACTTAATATGTCATTTTGGAATTTCTATTCAATTTTATTACAATATGTATATGAATTGTAGTGTACTATCGTAGATGCATTCCTACTACTGTACTTATTTACAGGTGTTTAAAGACACCAAATATGAAATATCACTATTTTTCCATGAGACATGGTTAGATTTCTTAAATCTATTAACTTTACAATAAATTCTAAAGTTTATCGACCTACCATTGACAATATATATGGACACATATTCTTTGTCCCTTAATTATTGTTCCAATATTCAACCTCCTCGCCTATAAAAGCCTTGAGTAAGGCCTGAGTCACAAATAAAGTGATTAGAAACTTTATAAATTTATCATTTACTATAAATTAAATTCTCATTTTAAAATGATTTCAGACTAATTCACCACGTGGTCGAAATGGCAGTGCCACAGTGATAAATTTAAGTCTGATAAAGACAACAAAATTGATCATATCGTAATTTAATTTATCTCCTTTCAACTTACTATCTGGGTCGGTACCAATTTAAAGAACCGGACCCCACAATTATGTGGCCCTGGACGAGATGAAAAAATGGGTACTATTAACAAATTAAATTATATAATATATAATATACATAATAAAATTATAATATATAATATATAATATATAATATATAATATATAATATATATTATATAATATATAATATATAATACATAATATATAATATATAATATATAATATATAATAGTATAATAATATACATAATAAAATTATATATTATAATCAAATATCTTAATAGCTACCTTAAAATTTTAAGTTTTTTAAATTTTTATTTAAAAATATACAATTTATATATATAAATTTAAAAGGTTGGGTCCCTGAAAAAATAGTTTGTGCGAGTAGGGCACCTTGGCCCACCCTCAAGCCTGCCCTAACGCTCACACCAGACATGGGAGTTATATTGAGTCTACGATTGTAAACGTTTCAGCTAGATTGGGTAGCTTTGTTGGCAGACTACTCTGATCATTATTCCCTTTAGATCAAGTGCGACCGTGAAGTCTACTCCGATCATCACCTTCGATGAATTGAGCGTGACTATGGGGTCTGCTTTGGTCACCTCTTTTGTTAGGCCGATCGTGGCTACGGCCGCAACGATCACCCCACTCGAACCGAACATGACTTCGGATATCCCAGTTAACTCTCTTGGACCACACGAGGCTTTTGTTGTACCCACTAGTGATTGGTATATACTAATATACTTGATATACAGATTATTATTAAACGCACACACTGAATTGTGGTTGACTCCAGGTATATATTGGTTTTCATCATCAACCATGCTAGGGGTAAATCAAGAAATGTACCCCAAGTTGTACCCCAAGAGATGCACCAACATTTTAAATGTTTACACTAGCAAAAAATGCTAGTTCAAACAAAAAAATTGCCTTGATATTTTGTGTCAATGTAAACCATCACACTAGCATTACACTAACACAAAATGTTGGTACATGTCTTTGGGGTACAAAATAGGATATACTCCCTACGTCCCAGAGTATTTGTCTACTTTCATTTTTACACACCATCCAATGCACTTCTTTAATCCATTTTATCTTGTAATGTGTAAATTAAAAAATTATAGAAATTACGGAGTATATATTAATAATCTATATGTTAATGTTGGAGTTTCCACATCGGAAAATAAAAAGGAGTATCACTTGCATATATTGAAGAGTGAAGCCCTACCTATTAGCTTAAGCTTTTGGGTTAGAATTGTGGATCCCGACTTTATATGCAAGTGGTTAATTTTACCCGACACTCTATCCGTTGTTCTCGGCCCGCCGGAATTTCTACATGGTATCAGAGCAGGTCCAGTCCGGGTTTGATTGTTCCTGGTTGTTTGGATGTGGGTTTAGCAAAAATGAGCTACCCATTTGTGGTTTGGGCTGAGTTGGCTAAAAAGAGATTGAGATGCCACTGCCCGTTGTGTGGGCTAGCTATAAGAGATTGAGATGCTAGACCCGTTTGTCCAAGTGCTAACTAGGCCAGGCTAGTTACCACTTGTGGGGGAGTGTTGGAGTTCCCACATCGGAAAATAAAAATGAGTATCACTTGCATATATTGAAGGGTGAAGCCCTATCTATTAGCTTAAGCTTTTGGGTTAGAATTGTGGATCCCGACTTTATATGCAAGTGGTTAATTTTACCCGACACTCTATCCGTTGTTCTCGGCCCGCCGGAATTTCTACAGTTAAGACAAATCAAACAAGATCACACATGACTATATTTAGGCTTACACATTTAGAGAATTTGATGAGTTAAAGTGCTTAAATGAACAGTTCCAAAAGCTAAAAGTGAACGAATATAGCGGGACGGAGGTAGTACTTTTTTTTTAGAGTAGAAATATCTTAATTCTTTCATCATATGTATAAATGCATTGCTTAGAAGGTGAGATTGACTCCGTACGCACGCGTATATTGGTTTTCACCATATGTATCAATGAATGCCTTTGAAGTTATCGGAATGGGCTGCAGAAGGAAATGAATGTACGGAGTATTAGAATGGAAATGAATGTGTTGCACGAGGAACGTAATCCATACAATTTTTTTTATGGTCATACAACTTTCTTATTAGTTGTAACTAATTGAAAATTTTGTTTCATATATGACTAAATGGTAGTGGGTTTCCATGAATAAAATCAAGTATGTTTTATTTTCTTTATGACATACTCCCTCCATTCCTATTTATCCGTCTATTAATAAGGTTAATTCATGCTTATTAAGGATGCATTAATTCTTTTTTGTATGGTCAAGAATACCCTTGTTAATTCAATCCTCCACCCTTATTAATTTTATGGGGAACACGCAAGGAGATTATGAAAAGTCTAATAATCCCTCAAAAAAATGAAAAGTCCTTTAATCACAAAGCTCTTGGAGATCCGTTAGTATTCTTCAAGGAGTAAAAGGACATTTCAATACACTTTATTGCATCGATTTCTGAAATGGTCAATTATTTGTGAACAAATGAAATTTTTATAATAGACAGATAAAAAGGAATGGAGGGAGTATATTTTTATATGATCTTATATGACTTCATTAGTAATAAATTTTGGATAATGATTGATTATACAAATGACTCTATGAATGTTGTCCTTACCTACAAGTGTTAGATAATGATTGGTTGTTTCAATGATTATTCAAATTATTTTTTATTAATGTCTTGTTCTACTTAAATTGTGTAATAGGTCATTTTTTATAATGACTTGAACGGAGTCCAAAACGTTCTGAAAAATTGATAGTATTGTTTTTTCAAGCCTTAATTTTCAACTTTCTTAAAAAAAAGATAGTATTACATCCGTCTTTAAATATTTGTCTAGTTTTGACTTTTTCCACTCAATTGTTTTTGACCTTTGACGTCGAATTAAATAAAAATTACTTCCTCCGTCTCCAATTTGATTACAAATTGGGATTACGAGGAAAAATATCTCACTTTGTAGAATCATTTTATTTAGAAATTAGTATATCGATAAGAAATAAAAATTATATATTAAAAATCTACATCAAAAGTTCTACAAAATAAGAGATGACAAGAGTATTTTATCTTATCAAATACTTAATAAAATCACGTAAATAAACAAAAGTTGTCTTGAAGAGTGATAAAAAAATTTAATCAAAATAGGGATGAAGGAGTATTTGGTACATTAATTAGATAAATTGCGAGTATTTTTTTCAAAGTATTGCTTAAAATGAATATAATAAAATTATATTTATATCAATATATCATACTATTTTTATTTAATCAGTAATTAAAATTTAGCAACTTTGATTATAAAAAATTAAAAGACGATAAAATTTTAAGGAGGGAGGTGTAGTAGTTCCAAAACGTGACGGAGGTGTAGTTCCAAAACGTACAAGGGAGCAGTTATACTTCGTATCTAGAAAACTAAAAAGAAATATTCCTTTTGACCCCAATTTGATCACAATTCATTTTTTATCTCCTTTCGATAATTTTTATTTGTTTATGTGATTTTATTAAGTACTTGATAAAATAAAATATTTCTTTCATCTCTTATTTTGTAAAATTTTTGGCGCAATCTTTTAATATGTACGAAGTAATTTTTATTACTTATTAATATATTGGTTTGTAAATAAAATGATTTCAAAAACTGATATATTTCTTCTTGCAAACTTAAATTTGTAATCAAATTAGAGAGGGATGAAGTACTTTGTATTCAAAACCACTCGGAGACCACATGATTTAATTACGGTATATGAATGTGAAATACTCCCTCCGTCTCATAAAACCTTTCCTGTTTCAAAAATGGCACGCCTTTAAAATGAGTAATTTTAGTATTATTTTTTAATTATGACCAATCTATTCTACACATCTCATTCTATTCTTTTAAAAAGTAAAAACAAAATTAGAAAAGAACACTAAAATTACTCATTTTAAGAGTGCGCCTTTTTTCAAATAAGAAGAGTTTTATGGGACGGAAGGAGTATAAGGAGTAATAATAAATGAGGAGTTTGGTTGAATGTTGTACGAGGTCATTATTTTAAAAAGTTATGATTTTACATTTCATGGGTAATTTGGTTGGAGTTCTAATGATACCCAATTTTGGTGATTCTAACGGTATCACTGTCATTTTTTAACACTTCTGGTGTTCTATTCGTAAAATTGACGGTTTGAGAGAAAAACCAAAGTAGTAGTAAAACATATGACATATCCTCAAAATAAGAGTTGAAACATAAACTCCTCTAAATAGGAGTAATTAATTTTTAATTAATCTAATGACTTAAAGTTAAGGAGCGAAATACAAGTAAGACATTGACCATGTGCTAAAATAGAAGTTATATTCATATTACAAATATGAAATTAAATACGTTTTATAAATTAAAAAAAATCCAAAATTAGCTACAGCCCCTGCCACACATGTCATTGTCGTCACCCCTGCCGCCATGGCCGCTACTGTTATCGCCGCCACTCCATCGCCACAATCTCGTGTTGTCATTGCTATTAAATGCGGTCACCATCTACATTGTTACTGTCCTCTATCGATTAGAAATTATGCGTCAATGCCCCCTCTTCACCGAAAAATGGCCAAAAAATGATCAGAAGGGGTGCATGTGGGTGCGACGCTTTGAAACCATGAGGACTTTTGAAATATGTTTTGAAAACAGAGAGAGTATTAGTGCCAATTTTTCAAACAGGGGGCACCAGAGCTATTTGGCCTAATTCACACCCACTACATATTTTCATCCTCTTAATATTTTTTTATTTCTTTCTTTAATTTTTTTTAAAAAATTGGTTTATATATTAACGTTGGAAAAAAAATAGAGTAACATTTATTTCATAATCTCAAAATTAAATTTCGTCTTTTTTCTTATCTGCATAATAAAGAATATTACGAAGTATAATATAAGTTACCATTTATATATATTACTATATATTATGGTACACAAAATTTTACTAATGGATCTTTTATATTTAGAAAAATATGTTACTCCCTCCGTCCGGAAATGTTCTTCCTGTGTTGACTTGGCACGCTTATTAAGGAATAGTAAAAAAAATGCAAAATTTTCAAAAATGCACATACTTTAAACTTTTAAATCTCCTTTTATTATTAAAAAAGTATTAAAAAAGTACATTTGTGATAAAAATAGAAGGGTATTATTGATATTTAGCCTTAAAAAGCATACTAAAAAGGAAATGGGAAGATTATTTCCGGACGGACCAAAAAGAAAAATGAGAAGAATATTTTCGGACGGAGAGAGTATGTTTTAGAGTTGTGCTTCTATATGGTCTTAAGGTGTACATGTGAAATATGACCTTCTCATAATCCTCTTTTGCAAAAAGCCTAATTTATCAAAATATTTATGTACTAATGTTTATAAAATGAGTGTGGACATAAAGACCATATAAGAATTTGCTTATGTTTTAATATATGTATGAAAAATTTTACAACATGTTCAATTGAGTACAATTGAGTACTATGTTGTTTTTGGTAGCATGCTTGTTTACATATAGTTGTAAGGAAGTCACCCCAAGCTTCTCCACATCCAGTGTTCTAGTTTAACATCCACTTATGCTCCGTACTTCTCATCCACGCCTTTTTTCGTACTCCATAGAGAAAATACTAAAAGAAAAGTTAATATTTTTATCCAAAAATAAGACTTACAATGTCAGTAATGTCTATATATAATACCAAAAAATACCTATTGAATATAATAAAAATATATACTGCCAAATTGTCACGTTGTAATACTTTAATTTTCAGTCTGTGTTTTGGTCCTTGCAAGGCACATCTCTTTTGCGGAAGAACGTGTAAAATCTCATTTTCTTTTAAAATGATTTTATTTACAAATTACAAATCCCTATAAAAAAAGATCCAAATTGCACTGTTCAAAATCACATCAAAGTTCTACAAAACTATAGCTGACAAGAATATTTAGTTTTAAAAATGATCTATTAAAACATGCATACAAATATAAATTATCGAAAGACTTTGATAGCAATCGGAAAGATTAATTCGGGATAGAGGGAGTAGTTTAGTAAAAAAATTATGTACTTCTTTCGTCCTAAATTAAATTGCAATTTTACAGTTACAAGGTAAAACCCCGTGGTTTTTGAAATCATTTATTTATAACTTAGTATGAGAATCAAAAGTAAAGCTTATCTTACATATTGAAAAACAGCGTCAAAAGTTCTACGAAATAAGATGTTATAAAAATATTTTATTTTATTAAATAATTAATGGAAGGATAATTTACCTAAATAGGACTAAAACATAATGATTTTCTCAATATATGATCATGTCATCATATGTTTTTATTTCCCAATGTAGGACCACCATTATCTATTAGTCATTACTATTAGTCATTATTCAATTAAATGTCCAGCATCACTTGGACATTATTCTTCTCACTAGACAATAGTCAGTCTTATTTAGGGAATAAAAAAGTTTAAGTCCTACATTAGAAAATGACTTACTCTTTCCGTTCTCAAAAACACTTCCTCTTTCATTTTTTCCACTTCCAACAAAACACTTCCCTTTCTATTAAAAAACTACTTTTACCCTTACTTTTCCATACCCTACCTATCACATCATACTTTTTCTCTAATAATCTATCCATCACATCTTACTTTTACCCATCACATCAGAGGCAAAATTGGAAATCAACTATAATTTAACACTTCCTTATTTTTGCCCCCAAATCAAATGGGAAGGGTTTTTCCGAACGGAGGGAGTATGTTTTAGTCCTATTTAGTGCAAATTTCACTTAATGAAAACACATAGATAAAAAAAGTTAATCTATTGTAGGAAGATGGAGGGAGGGAGTAAAAAATAACTCAATTAGGTGACTATGACTGACAATGTAAGCTACTCCTCCTTTTGAAACCAAACCACTTAGCTATATAAAGACATGCACTCCCCTATCTCCATTTCACGTACAAATCCAACTAACTACTCATCAACCAAAGCATTTGGCAATGGTGATGAGTTCTTCAAGGCAGTTGTTTCCCATCTCCCTTTTCTTGATGATCTTCCTCTTCCATGGCCTCCATTCCATTTCCTCTGCTAGCCATCATCACCATCACCATCATCAACACAAACATAGAGTACTCACCAAGAAGGCCATAACTCCATGCAAAACCCTAAGCTTCTACCTCCATGACATACTCTACGACGGTCACAACTCCCATAACGCCACTTCGGCCATTGTGGGCGCGCCCGCGTGGGCCAACCGGACTGTCTTGGGGGCCCAAGACTTCTTCGGAGACGTGATCGTGTTCAACGACCCGATCACGTTGGACAACAACCTCCACTCGGAGCCCGTGGGGTGGGCCCAGGGGTTCTATCTGTATGACAGGAAGGACGTGTTCACTGCATGGTTTGCCTTCACTTGTAGCTTCAACTCAACCAAGCATAGGGGTACCATCAACTTTGCTGGGGCTGACCCTTTGATGAACAAGACCAGGGACATTTCGGTCATTGGTGGCACCGGGGATTTCTTCATGGCTCGAGGAGTCGCCACTTTGATGACTGATGCAGTTGAGCTTTTCTCCTACTTCAGAATCCACATACTTGTTAACTTATACGAGTGCTGGAAATAATTATTATTTCAAAAAACAAAAAATTACTATGGACTGTTATTTTAATGTACGTACTACGTACGAGTCATGCATGCTTCACATGGTGACTGTAGCGTACAAAATAATTTTCTTACCCCGTAGTTTAATTTGTCGATCGAGTCAGCTCAGTTGGAAATTATTTCCCTGCAAGTGTCTTTCTTTTGGTTGAAATGTTTTTATTGGTAAGTAGTAAGGAATAATAAGTAGTAGTGTGTTTAATTTCTTTCATTAGTTTTTGTTTTTTTCGAGAAAAGTGCACCGTTTATCCCTAAATTCTTTAAAAATTGCACGGTTTACCCCATAACATTAAAAAGTGCACCAAATACCCCTGAATTCTTCAGAAATTGCACGGTTTACCTCTGAACAATAAAAATTGCACCAAATACTCCTAAACTTTTCGAAAATTGTACTGTTTACTCCTGAACATTTAAATAAAGACGACAATTTTGGGGAAATGTACTTTGGAGAATTCACAAGGGCCAGATAAATCATATTCGCAATTCTTGTGCGTGGAAGCAACGCACTCCCAATCTAATAGTTTAGGACCAACGATACAACGGTTTAATTTGTTCAAGGGTATTTGGTGCATTCTTTAGTGTGCACGGGTAAATCGTGTAATTTTCGAAGAGTTCGGGGGTAAACAGTGCACTTTTTAAAGTTCAGAGATAAAGCATGTAATTTCTAAAGAGTACGAGGTAAACATTGCACTTTACTCTTTTTTTTTCCTTTTTCCACTTCAGTTTGCATAATAAAGTTTGAAGATTTTATGTACTTGCCTTATTCTTTAATCGTAATTAATAACTACACTTTTGGTGGAAGCATGTTCATCTAATGGCCGGAATCGCCATGGCTAGGAGATCACCTCAAACTTCTCTACATTAAAATGACTTGTAAAGGTGGAGAAGTTAAAAAATTGTAAAATGAGAAGAAAAAGCTAGTACTGTAAAAAAAAAAAGAAAAAAAAATTCCAACCATCGTCGACCAATCCGGCGACAAAGCAATCGGGTGGCGCCGATCAATTCTACCTCAAGTCACAATCGTCCAAGAATCACAACCGTCATTTTTTTCAAACTCTTCTACTCGATCTCAACCAATTACTCTAAAAAAGATACTCCCTCCGTTCCATAAAGTGTTACCCATTTTGACTAAAGTTGAAATTAAGGGAGTGATAATTTTGTGTTGACTTTCCAAAAATACCATTGATGTGATGGGTAAAAGTAGGATGTGATGTGTAAATTATTAGGAAAAAGGTATGATGTGATAGGTAGGATTTGAAAAAGTAAGGGGTAAAAGTGGTTTTTTAATAGAAATGGGTAAGGGATTGTGGGACGCAATTTTTTTGAAACGTGTAAATCTTTTTGGGACGGAGGGAGTATATTTCTATATTTAAAAATTATGGATAAAATAGTTACATAAAATGTTTTATTAATCTAACTTTATATAAATCTCTCACATTTTCCTTTATTACTCAAAATTTTTTCATTTTTCTAATTTTTATAAAAAGAATTGAAAGTCAAAATAGTTTAGAAAAAAAGACTAAAATAGGAGTATGTAAAAGGAAAGCGAAGATTTGGGAGATATTTTCCTATTTATTCCGTATATATTAGTTTTAGTAGTTTCCTTGTATAGAGATTCCTTTTCCTTTGTTAACTAGGATTCTCCACTATATATGTAACCCATGGTTGTACATTGAAAACACAGAAATAATACGAGAGATTTTCCTTTTAAACAATTTTTTCATGGTATCACCGAAAGATATCCCAATTTAGATTCAACTGCATGCCTGACCTTCAAATGAAATAATACTAGAGTCTATCTAGACTGAGCGAAATTAAAAGTGTAATCGGACAACCAATAAAGAGGGATAAGGCAACAAGAGCTAGATCTAAATGGGCTTATGCTTGGATTCGAGTAGAAGTTCAGGCAAATCAGACACTTCCTGAACAAATAAATTTTGGTAATGAGGTAGGAAGGATCATTACCCAATCTCTTCATTATGAATGGGCTCCCAATCTATGCTTCCATTGTAATAGAATTGGGCACCTTGTTGAAAATTGTAGAAGGAGAAATATTGTTACAGACCAAACGGAAGAACTCAACCCAAAAGACTAGTTTGATAGGTGAGGAAATCCATTTGGCCTATAAACCCCACATCAATTGCCCATACAACCGATGTGGGACAAGTCCCATACCTTGCAATGGTTTCAGTACATAACAAATACCCCTAAATGAGAGGAACCAAGAAAAAAACTTTTTGTATGGAGGCCTAAACCTACTCAGAAAGAAACGACCCTATTGTGGAACCTGAAAGTAATCAGGGTAAAGCTGAGGAGATCCCAACCAATTGAGGCTAGTATATATGGATAATGAGATTAAGGAGACTCCTGATCCTCAATTGTTGGAATCAGAATTTAATTTATAGAGGTAAATAAAAAGAAAGCTGCGAAAAGAGTATCAGTAGAACCAGATGGGATGGATTCATATGTTAGTGGCATTCATAAAGACTTATGTTTAGCCCCATATGAGGGCCACCGTCATTTTCTTTTATGATAGGTTGCTGGAATATCCGAGGGCTAAATAGTCAAAACAAACAGCAAGAGGTCAAGAATATAATAAGTAAATATGATATTTCTATATTTGGTATATATTGGAAACAAAAATTAGGGATGAAAGATTCAGAGATATTGAAAACAAAATGTTCAGTAGTCGGGGTTCTTTAATTAATAATAATGTCTATCCCCTGAGGAGAGTTTGGGTTGTATGGAACAGAAATAAGGTAAACATTAATATCCTTGAAGTTATTGATAAAGGGCCTGTTTGGGAATAGCGTTAGAGATTAGCGTTAGCGGTTTGGATAAAATTTTAACGGTGCAGATTATTTTGAAAACGCTAATGCTAAACGCTGGCCGTAGATAGCCTTTTCAAAACGCTAACGCTAATCTCTGACGCTATTCTCAAACGGACTCAAAGTTGTGCACTGTCATGGTAGATTTCTGGGATATGACACAGATTTCTACTAGACATTTGTATATGCTCATAATGACCAGCTAAAAAGGAAAGACTTATGGGACACACTACAAAAACTGGCAGATTCCTCTGCTTGGTGCGTTTTGGGGAACTTCAATTCAGTTCTATATTTGGAGAAAATAAATCGATATATAAGCTCTTGAGTTGAACTAAGTAATCGATTGGATTCAATATTTTAATGCGGTTTAACCCAAGTGTCTTAGTGCCCATTCTAGTTAACCATATCCCATCCTAAATTCTATCATGGTATCAGAGCCAGATTTTTAAAAATTCTACAGTTGATTGGCCGATCGATTGGCACTGAGCCATCCACCGCTATTGTTTTAGCCCACCGCTTATGTTAAGGTAATGGCCCATTTGTCATTAGCTCAATTGTACTCATGGAAAACGACCTATGGCCTATAAAACCTAATTTTTCGTTTGAAATTAAAGTCCATGCCCAGTAGTTCGTGGTCCTTTAAGTGTTTGCATTTTCAATCCTTTCATTTCTTGGGGAGGGGGAGTCCATTTGTAAGTGGTCGACCGGTTAGATTCAAAGTGGTTCGGTTGTCCACTTGAGGGGGAGTGTCAAAAAGTATCCCACGTTAAAATTTGAAGATAAAATAAATCGTTATATAAGCCCTTGAGTTGAACTAAGAGCCTGTTCTTTAAGACTGGGAAAAAAGAGTTAAATGTTGAAAGAAACTGGAAAAAACTGAAAGAAACTAAAACAAACTGGAACAATTGGAAGAGACTCGAAAAAATTGGAAAAAAACTAGAAAGAACTGGAAAAAACTAGAAGGCCTGGAAGAAACTGGAAAAACTTCAAAAAATTGGAAGACCTAAAAAAACTTTAAAAAAATTTTTTTGAGTATATTTTTATATTATTCTGATTCTTATTCTTGTTGTTATAAATTATTATTATTATTATTATTATTATTATTATTATTATTATCATCATCATCATCATCATCATCATCATCGTTATCATCATCATCATCACGTTATCTTAATGAATGTCTTTAAGATAAAAAAGTATTGTTATTTTTTAAATACAAAAAACTAATTTTTCAAAAAAATATATAATACAAAGTTAGCATAAATATCAAAATGTTAAATTTTTAAAGAGTTTTTGTGGCTACGTTGCACCTCAATTTATTTATGTAGTATTTATTATAAATAGTATATTTTTAATTATACTTTATATATTACAAGATTTTGTTTTAAATATTAGACATGTCACATAATGTAATCAAAACTATTTTTTCTTTCATGATTGACATTCTATTTTCATTGTAAGTCCTATTTTTGGAATAAAGACATAGAATTTTTTTTTAATTTTTTTATGTTTTACTCCTATTTTAGTCTTTTTCTCTAAACTATTATAACTTTCAATTTTTTTTTATAAAAATTAGAAAAATGAGAAAATTTTGAGTAATAAAGGGAAAGGTGAGAGGTCTCATATAAAGTTAGATAAATAAAACATTCTATGTAACTATTTTATCCATAATTTTTTAATATAGAAATATATCTTTTTTAGAATAATTGGTTTGGGAGTAGAAAAAGTTTGAAGAAAATGAGAATAGTTGGAAGAAACTGAAAGAAACTGGAAGAAACTAGAAGGAACTGAAAGAACTGGAAAAAACTAGAAGAAAGTGAAAGAAACTAGAAGTTAAGAGTTTAAACCCTAAAGAACATGCTCTAAGTAATCAATTGGATTCAATCTTTTAATGTTGTTCAGCCCAAGTATCTTATTGCCCTATTCAATTAACGTTATCCCATCGTAAATTCTATCAGAATGTCTTATTTTTATTAATGAAAAAATAACAAAATATCATACTGCGTATTTTACAAAACTATATTTTAAAATAATTGTTTTTTATATATAAAATATTTCAAAATAAGTTGACTTGGCACGTGTTGACTTGACACGCTTATTAAGGAATAGTAAAAAAAATACAAAATTTTCAAAAATGCACATACTATAAACTTTTAAATCTCCTTTTATTATTAAAAAAGTATTAAAAAGTAGATTTGTGATAAAATAGAAGGGTATTATATTGATATTTAGCCTTAAAAAGCATACTAAAAAAAGGAAATGGGAAGATTATCTCCGGACAGCCAAAAAAGGAAAATGGGAAGAATATTTCCGGATGGAGGGAGTACTTTTGAATATTTTAAAGAGTTTGATGACATTGTTAAAAAAGAGAGTGACTTTCTCGACAAAAATGAACGATTTAGTGGCATTCTTGGGACACACTCCACAGCGGCTAGTCGTCCAGACGGGTGTGAGAGGGGTTCATCCTTTTGTATTTTCTAAGGTCATGTTCTCCTAACCTGATTTGAATACTTCAGATCTCGTTAGAATAAGTTCTAATTTGATCTGATTTGATTCGAATATAGTTCAATTTAAGCTGTTTCAAATTAGATCTGATCAAACTTAG